ACTGTTACCCGTATGGGTGTTGTAAGAGGCATACCTGCTGAGTGGTCAGATGAAGAAGTTACGGAAAATATTAATTTACCTGTTGGATGCGGTCCAATTTTAAAAATAAGAAGAATGAGACGGCGTATCATTACTAGTAATGGCAGTGAGTTTAAGCCTACTGAAACTGTGGTTCTTACATTTGATGGACAAATACTACCTAAGCGAATTTTTATTTGCTACACTTCCCTCCCAGTTGATCTTTACATTTTCCCCACAATACAGTGCTATAATTGTTGCAGATTTGGTCATGTTAAATCATTATGTAGATCAAAACCAAAGTGTTTCAAGTGTGGCCAAGACCATTCGGCTGATCAGTGCTCTATCCTAGAGGAAGATGCATACTGTTGTTTATGTCAAGGATCCCATTTTGCCACAAGTAAAAGATGTTTAGAATTTGATCGCCAAAAAGCCATCAAAGAATCTATGGCCAAGAGCTGTATTTCGTACGCTGAAGCATCTAAAATTCATGCACCTATCTCAAAAATATCTTATGCTGATGCTTTACTTTCTTCTTCCAATGTAGGTGCTTCTACTATTTCTACTCCTCAAAATGAACAGTCTCATAAACAGTCTTTGAGTAACTCTTACAAAAAGACTTTTTTCTCAAACCTAAATCTATTCCTAAACTTTCCAAAGGTTATGACAGAAATACACAACAACAATTAATTAAAGATTATGATATGCCCTCACCCAGAAATGGTTGTGGATTAAACTTAAACAACAATAATGATTTGACATTACAATCAATTGCAGACCTAATAAAAATTCTCATTAACACTTTATCACAGTCAAATATTCTTTCACCGTCCAACGCTGCTCCTTTAATTGACACTATTGTTAGCTTACCAAATTATATTAATAATGGACAAGCAAGCCAAAGCTCTACAGTGGAACTGTAGAAGTGCTTCGTCTAAGAAAAGTGATATTATTTATCTTATAAATAAATATAAACCTTTTATCTTCGCTCTACAGGAAACCTGGTTGAAACCAGGTGCTCCTTGTAGGTACTCAGGCTATGCCTGTCTCCGTGAGGATCGTATTGACGGGTATGGCGGAGTTGCCTTACTAGTCAAACATCATCTTCCTTTTTCTCACTTTCCTATTCCTTCTCATAGTAATGATTTTTCAATTATTGCTGCTATTGTTAATAATATCTGCTATGTTTCAATATATATTCCTCATCCTAGTTCTTCTATCTTTGTTGAAATTGACTCTATCATTTCTACTCTTCCTAAGCCTTTTTATCTTATTAGGCGACTTTAACAGTCAACATAATTCTTGGGGCAGTTCAACAACCAATACATACGGAGTTTCATTGATGGAACTGTTAAACTCTCATAATCTTTGCTTTCTTAACGATGGTTCTGTGACCCGGCGGACCTCTCCCAATGAAGGCACAAGTGTCCCTGATTTAAGCATATGTACTCCTAGTTTAGCTTCCACTATTTCATGGTCTACACTTTCTTCTTCATATGGTAGTGACCACTTCCCTTTACTTCTTAGATTTCCTTTTCACATTAATTTTACATTTAGACATTCACCTAGATTAAAACATCGACTTAATAATGCTGATTGGGATACCTTTAAATCCCGTATAGAACAAAAGATGACTTCCCTTCCTAATATCTCACATGGTTCAGAATCAATTTGTGCTGATGCATTAACTAAATTATTTATAGAAGTAGCAGACAAAACCTTTCCGCTTAAAAACGGTGCTCTGGGCTTTATTCCATCTCCACCTTGGTGGGATCAAGAATGTTCAGATGCAATTAAAAAAAGAAAACAAGTTGAGCTCCAATATTGTGAGAATTGTACATCTGAAAATTTTGATCTGGTTACAGATGCTTTCAAGGCCACTAGTTTATTATTCAAAAGAAAAAAACAGATAGCTGGAAATCTTTTTGTCTCTCCATCTCCCCTAATGTCCGTCCTTCTGTGGTATGGCGTAATATTAGAAGATTCAGGTGTGCATTTACTGAAACTTCTGGTTCTCTCCCCGATTCATTAACAAATCAATTCCTCGACAGACTTGCTCCTACTACAGTTCCTGAAACAATAATTATACCTCTGATGCCATTGAACCCCTCTGGTCTCAATAGTCCATTTTCTATGTATGAAATTAAAGGAATACTATCTTCAGTTATAGACTCTGCTCCTGGTGACGATGGAATCCCATATTCCTTCATCTCTCATTTAGGTGACCAAACTCTTGAATATTTCCTGAAATTGATAAATACACTTATGTTAACCGGTTCTATCCCTCCACGCTGGAAAAACCAGATCATTATACCAATTCTAAAATCTAATAAAAAATCCCTCTAACGCAAATTCATATCGTCCTATTGCATTATCCTCGGTCTTGATAAAACTCTGTGAACATTTAGTGAAAACTCGTCTTGAATGGTTTGTAGAAAGCAATAAATTACTTTGTGACAGTCAATTTGGTTTCCGTCGAGGGAAGAGTACGATGGACAGTATTGCCATCTTTATAACTGACATTTTTTTAGCATTTTCAAGGAACGATTCTGTTGTTGCCACATTTTTAGATGTACAATCCGCTTATGACAATGTAGTGTTGTCAGTTCTTCATAAAAAGCTACAGTATTTGAATGTACCTGTAATGTTATCAAATTTTATCATAAATACTTTATACGAAAGACACATCACTCTAATTTCACAAGACTCCACTGTTGTAACCAGAACCTTATGGAGAGGTCTTCCTCAAGGATCAGTCTTAAGTCCCATCTTATATAATATTTATACCCATGATTTGAAAGCTTCTTTTGGGTAATCGGATTTGTATTCTCCAGTATGCTGATGACCTTTTAATTTATTCCATTCATCAATCACCGGCCATTGCTTGCTCATTACTGTCTCATTCTCTTAATTTATTAAAAACTTGGCTTGATACTAATGGCCTTGAAATATCCCCCACTAAAAGTGTTGCCATGCTTTTTTCTAGAATGCGTCTCCCTCCTCCAATCAACGTGTATTTTGATAATAATATTATCCCTGTTAAAAACTCTGTGAAGTTCCTTGGTGTGTTTTTAGATTCTAAGCTCTCTGGTGTAAATCATTGTGACTACATTTTTAATAGGTGTGAGCGAAACCTGAACATTCTTAGATGTTTATCCGGTGTATGGTGGGGTGCCCATCCCTTTTGTATGAAACTCATGTACAATGCTTTAATCCGAAGTATTTTAGACTATGGTACCTTTTTATTATCTCCTGGAAATGCAACCCGTTTAAAAAAATTAGATAATATACAGTCTAAGGCATTAAGATTAATCACAGGAGCTATGAAAACTAGTCCAATTAATGCTTTACAAGTAGAATGTGTTGAAGCCCCATTACATCTTAGACGACAATATTTATCTGATAAATTCATATTTCGCTCCCTTCAATATGCCAACCATCCTCTCCGTTCTAAGCTGCAAGAACTATCTCAATTGTTGACATCTTCCAAGTACTGGTCAAATAAATCTTCACCTTGTCTCATCGTCAGCTTCAATAAATTTATCAATATTCAAGCTCCAACTCATACCTTACCAACTTACCCTTTATTTGGAACCAACTTTGAATCTCTAATTATTTCTCCAGACATTAGATTCAATATTGGTATAAACAAGGGCGATTCCCACGCAAGGATTACTTTTAATTATTTCTGTGAACAACACTGCCATGAGTACAATTACATATTTACAGATGCCTCTAAACACGGTTCGTCTGGTAATGTAGGCATAGGAGTATTTCACTTACAAAGTAAAACTACAATAAAAATAATGTTTCCTCCAGAGTCCTCAATCTTCACAGGGGAATGTTACGGTATCTTTAAAGCTTTAAAATTAGTTTTGAGTAAGAAACTTAAGAAATCCATCATATTCACAGATTCACTTAGTGCTCTTCAAGCTCTCCAAAAATATCCATTAAAAAACAAATTAATTTTTCCTATCATTATTGAGATTAGGAGTTTGTTGTATGAATGTGAGCAATTGGGGTTGTCTGTGTCATTTGGTTGGATACCTGGACATTCTGGTATTTTTGGTAACGACATAGCAGACCAACTAGCAAATGAAGCTGTTAAGGATGGCGATTCTAACTCGTATAAAAATTATTATCATGATTTGGCCTCACTTCCTGCTTCTTTTCTTCGACAATCTTGGACTGACCTTTGGATTCAGAGCAGTTTAATTAAGGGTAAATATTTTTCATGTATACAGCCCACAATACCACTAAAGCCATGGTTTTTTAAAATGAAATTTAATAAAAAGGAAACATCGTCTCTCATTCGTATGAGATTGGGCCATGTGTGTACCCCAGCCCACCTTTCCAGATTTCATATTATTGATAGTGAAATGTGTGAGTGTGGGCTGAATATTGGTGATTTAAACCATATCATTCTGTCCTGTCCTCGGTATAACCACTCCATGTTATTCGATCATTCTCATCCTTCTTCTAGTATCCCGTTACCTACATCTGTTCCTGTTCTGCTTTCATCTTTAAATAATAATATATATAAAAAGTTATGTTTATTTCTTACTCTAAATAATATAAAATTATAAATATGTACATACATATGTATACAAATCGTATTTTGTATGATATATATTTTATTAATTACTGTTCCTTTCCATAATGTAGTACTTTGTATTAGAGATAGTTTTATATCCTGCTGATCCTATCCTTTATCGATGTAATGTTCATTCGGTGTAAAATTATTTTTCTTTACTATTCCGTTTTCCTTACCTTTGTCTGTGGCAATACGCTCTGCGTGAGGCTATTAAAAAAAAAAAATAAAAAGAAGGACGCCGACCGGACCGACTTTAAGGTTTGAGTTTTGACAGGTGGTTTGCATCAATTTCGTGTCTATATAGTTCCAAAAATCTTTATTGTTCTAATAAATTATTTATTTTTTATTTAACTTTGAATCGGCAGTACAGTGAAAGTAGACTTAAAACATGGTCGCGAGAGTTGCTGGCGTTTTTGATGAAAAGCTTACTGAAGCCATTGCTAATTCCAAAGTATTGGTTGTTGGTGCCGGCGGTATAGGTTGTGAGATTTTAAAGAATCTTGTTCTGACTGGCTTTCCTAACATTGAGATTGTAAGTTTGGTAGTGAACATTTTTAAATGTAGGCTTAATAACTCTAATAACTCTATTAATGTTACGTTTTCAGATTGACCTTGATACTATCGACGTGAGCAATTTAAATCGTCAATTTCTTTTCCACAAGGAACATGTTGGTAAATCAAAGGCTCAAGTCGCTAAAGATAGTGCCCTCAGTTTTAATCCTAATGTGAACATTGTAGCTCATCATGATAGTGTGATCAGGTATGAATCTTTAAACTTATAATTTATTACAAGGCATTGCTTTCAGCTAGCAATATTTCATTTATAAAACTATTATTTTTAGCAATGATTATGGTGTGAGTTACTTCAAGCAATTCAATATTGTAATGAATGCCCTAGACAACAGAGTTGCTCGTAATCATGTGAACAGAATGTGCTTAGCAGCTGATGTTCCATTGGTGGAGACTGGTACCGCTGGTTATGCAGGACAGGTATAAGCAGTATAATTTATGTTTGGAGTGTGAGGACAGTCAGTTGGGGAGATGTGTGTCACATAGTAACATTGATATTGATTATTAAATATTTGTAATTTATATTCTGTTCTAAAAAATTACTTTATATCTAAGATTAAGAATGAATTATCTTTACATATAAATATCTTATTTTTCAGGTTGAGCTGATCAAAAGGGGGCTTACTCAGTGTTATGAGTGTCTTCCAAAAGCTCCACAAAAGAGTTTCCCAGGCTGTACTATTCGCAATACACCATCAGAGCCCATTCATTGTATTGTATGGGCAAAGCATCTGTTTAACCAGCTGTTTGGTGAAGAAGATCCTGATCAAAATGTCAGCCCTGACACTGCAGATCCTGAGGCAGCAGGTGATGCTGGCGCTTCGGCATTAAACGCTAAAGAATCTGAGACAGGGAATGTTGAAAGGAAAAGTACTAGAATGTGGGCTGCTGATACCAATTATGATCCAGAAAAGCTGTTTTCTAAGCTTTTTGGCGATGATATTCGTTATTTGCTATCTATGGAAAATCTTTGGAAAAAGAGACGACCACCTACACCCCTGGTATGGGATAATCTACCTGGGAAAGATGATTCACCAGCAAAGCATTCTGGATTGCCTGACCAAAGAGTGTGGTCAGTTTCTGAATGTGCAAAAGTAAATATTTTTTGTTTTTTCTATTTAGGTACCAAAACAATTTTTGTTTTCCTTGAACTTGGTTGTCAATTAAGTCAAAGACAAGGGCAATTAATTAATACTGGTCTTAGTATGTCTTGCATTTAAAAGCTACTTTATATTTACTAAAGTTTTATACTTAACAAAAATATGTTACAGATTTTTGCAACCAGTTGCAAAGCATTGGAAGCAGACCTGAAGAGCCGTGCTGATGGTGACCATCTTGTGTGGGATAAAGACGAGAAAAGTGCTATGGACTTTGTTACTGCATGTGCAAATGTTCGTGCCCACATATTCAATATTCCATTGAAATCACGCTTTGAGATTAAATGTAAGTTATTTTTAAAAATACACAGAAAAAGTTATTGAGAATAACACAATGCCCAGAATTTCATTAATAATTTTAGCTTATACTAAATTCTTTGAAGTTGTTTTACCAATTTATGCTCAGGTCTTGACATATTATTTCAAGAAGTATAGTAGTAGTATTAATTTTTTTCCTGTTGCATAGAACTTTATTGCTTAATACATTAATTGTAATAATATATTAAGCTATTGTATTATAGCTTCAATGTTCTTATAAAACAATAAATAATATTTTTATCACTCAGAGAAACTTTATCACTCTTATTGTTACATAGCAAATCATAATCCAGTGGTTTTAGATCAAATATGTCAAAATATGGCTGAGTCACTCTATCTGCCAGAGCAAACCTGCACTAAAGCCTATAGTAGTGTACTTGACACACTAATTGTAAACTTTCTCTGAAGTAAATAATTTTTTGATATGCCTTATACCACTTTATACTTATAACCTATCCGGGTTAAAGTCAAATAACAAATGACTTATCTTTAAACATAAAGACTAGTGTGACTCAAATAAGTCCTAATAGAAGAAATCTTTTGATATCTATAAAAAATAAACTGCATGTCCCCCAATTATTATGTGAATAATGAAAAATATTGTATATTTCACAGCAATGGCTGGAAACATAATACCAGCAATAGCTACAGCCAATGCGATAGTAGCAGGACTGGCCGTTTTGCGTGCACAGAACATACTTAAAGGAAATATAGAAGTTTGTACCAGTGTCTACCTAAGGCCAAAAGTAAACCATCGTGGACAATTATTTGTGCCAGAGAAAAGTAATTGTTTTTTGATTACTTATAAACAATCACATTGGCTAGTGTCAAAATTTATTTTTATTGCATATAATATGTGATTGCATTTGTTAAAAACATTTAAATATTATAGCTGTGATTTTAAATTTGTTGTGCCCCATTCTGTTATTGGGCACTTAGTTAATCTTAATTAAATTTTTTTTTATTATTTACAGCTCTTACAACACCAAATCCTAAATGCTTTGTGTGTGCACCAAAAGCAGAGGTTGCATTGGCTTGTAATCTCAAACAATTGACACTTAAAGATTTAAACACAGCTCTTAAAGAAGGCCTTAATATGCAAGCACCAGATGCTGCAGTGGAAGGTAAAGGGCTGGTTGTTCTTTCTTCAGAGCCAGGAGAAACGGACCACAACAATCACAAGACATTAGAACAAATTGGGCTAAATGATGGTTGTGCATTGCTTGTTGATGACTTCCTTCAAAACTTTGAAGTCAGGGTTCGTTTACAACAAGAAGACGATGAGAAATCATGGCGTTTGGTCACCGATATGGATGCTCCAATGCCAGAACCAAAAGAAGATAAACCAACAAATGGGGCAAATGGCTCTGAACCAAAACCGGGTCCTTCTCGACCCAAAGACGACAGTGACAGTGATATGGAGATTATTGAAGAGGATGAAGGAGTGGAAACCACGAAACCTCCAAAACGCAGGCGAATTGAGATGTCAGATGAGGTTGTTGAACTGTGTTAGCTGTATGTAAAAAATAAATTCTCTCACATACAACTGAACTTGAAAGAATTTTTATTCTTTGTATTGCTGACATGATTCTTTAAACCTGAACAACTTATGGCTTTTCTATGGATTTAGAAAGCTATTAGACAAATACAGTTCTTTATTGTATCATTGTTTTATGACTAGTTAGCAAACTTTGTGGATATGTTTAGCTATAGATGAAACAAATGCCTAACGTCATTGATACAAAATCTCTACAGCAAAATGAAAAGAAATGTATTCTTAAGAATTTGATGATTAAATTTTAAATTACTGTATTTAATTTATTTCAAAATAATTGATTTCAATAGAAATAGTAGGTTTTGACCTACATTGTACTGAATATATGTCATTGATGTTAAATTTTGTAATTAAAAAATTGTATTTTGTAATCTAACTTCCATGTTAAACATTTTTGAACTAAATATTTTCTTACATATAAGCCCACATTATTGTAATCAATATTTTCATGAAATCTCATATAAATGTTATACAGTAACAGTAAGGACAATGTGTTTTAAGATAATATATATAAGAAAAACCTTTCTCTTATAATAAAACAATAAAATGTAAAATTATTTCATTTATTTTTTCCATATAAGCAGTAAAAGTAATACTGAATTATCATTAACCACAAGTTTCTCTTGCCATATAAATAAATGCTTTGCACAATTTACTAAATACAATGTTTGTCTACAATAATTTATTAAATAATAGAACTTCAAAAATAACTTCATAGCCATTGACACTACACCTTTAGCTCCCTGATATGTGGAGGTAGATGTTTTCTACCAAAACCAGCCATTAATAAGTTAAAACATTAAACACTAAAGGGTAAACTGACTTTTGTTAGGAAATGTATTACCATTTTGGTAAGTACAATTGAAAAATTCTTATTGAAGCTTAATTAAAATTACATTTTTAACTTTGATGGATATTCAGTAATGAAAAAAATTCGAACACCACTTTTGTTAACTAATAAATATCTTATTCCTAAAACACAACAAACAAAAACTAATTACTAAATACTTAATTTTCTGGGAGCATTCCAAATTCTATGAGGAATTTTTCTACATCAGTAGCAAAAAAATCATTACCTAATTCTGTTGCAAGTTGAACAAAGTTACCAATAACCTGACCACCTTTATACACCAGTAATGCTGGTACTCCGTCAACACGAAAATGACGGCTTAAACCAGTGATATCAGCAGCAATGCGACAAAACTTAGTTGTAGGATACTCGGTTGCTAAAACATTTATACAACCATCCATTGTTTGACATGCTCTTTTTTTGTCACTGTAAATGTGAACTATCACTGCAATTTTTGGGTCTTCCTTGTCAATGGCATTCAGAAACTCATCTTGGCTCTTCAAAGTTATCACTTTACCAAACTTTGGAGCTTTCTGTAACTTAGCCATAAGTTCTTGCATTCTTTGTTGTTGGTATTTCATAAGAAAACCTTCATCAATTAATTCATTTAGTTCATCTTCTATTTCATCTCTTTCCTTGTCTGCATCATCTTCTGCTTCTGTTTTGACTGTCAAAGTAAGTTTTTTGGCAAGTGCAATGCGCTCTCTTTCCACTTCTTTCCGGTTTTCTGCTTCTAATTGTTTAAACCTTCGCCAATCCTCAAGGACACCTTTGGGTCCTGTATTGCTAGCAGATCCATTCCAATTGTTGACAGGAGGTGGCTCTGCTGTGACTGATGTTTTTATAGTCTTCTCTTCATCTCCACTCCCTTCATCTTCAGAGCCCTCATCCTCACTGCTACTGCAGTAGTTATGCAGTTTTTCACCAAGGATTTTGTCCTCCAATGTGGCCATAGTTACTGAATAAATGATATTTACAATAATTACTTCCAAAATATTATAGATCAGTTTTAAGTTATTGTACTATTGTTAGTAGAGAAAAAATTACACAATAGATTTAAGTTTTATAGCTCCTTTACAATTATAATGCATAGAACTATAATGAGTTGAATTAGTAAAATACAACTAATATAATTTAGTTACTGATTAAAATACTCGTCTAAGAATTGTAATAACACATTTTAATGTCTTTAATGAGTATCGTTACTTACCCAAATGTCGAAGATTTAATAATTTCGGTACAATATTATTCTGCCACTTACTTAATATCCTATACCTGCCGATTACACTTCAGTATTTAGTTTATAGATAATAACAGTTGCGACTTGCGTTTAGCGTTAATTAAATTTCTCATATAAAAAAAAGGGTGGTTGTAATAATTTGTAAACATATACACCACAGATTACTTTAGTATATTAAGTAATGTATTACTCATAGAGTAAGTATACTAACAAGACAGGGTGTCTTACACAAACGATAATAAGATTTATAATACATTCAAAGCCATGAAGCAAGGAAATCTATTTATTCCTATATTTGCCATTAATGTTTCCTTAAGGCTTAATGTAACATTAAGGAAAAATGTTTACAGTAGGGATGTGAAAAAATAATCGATTATTAAAAAAATCGATTTTAATCGATTTTTTTAAAAGTAAAAATCGATTTTTTTACGCGATTTTTATATTTAAAATAATCGATTAATAATCGATTATTTTTATAATTGAAAATCAATCATAATCGATTTTTTATCTGCCACCTCCCGACATTGTCTGGTCTTTTATAACCCGGACCTCGAACTATTTGGGATATTCGATACACAACGATGTTTACAATGCGATACATTGAATCGGATTCTTTGAAGATGTATTGATATACGCGATACATTGATGTTTTTTTGTAAAACATCGAAAGGATGATAAAAGCAGTTAATTTTACAAAAACTCAAGTTTGAATGGAACACTATAATTTAAAAGTAAAATAAATTTATTCAGCAGCACAAGACTACATACAATTAAAAATACAACAAAAATACTGCAATGTGCTACTGAAAAGGATTACACTCAGAATTTATCAAAACGAGATTAAGTTAATTTCGATTTTGATTATTCTTAAACGTTAATTTGTGTTTATAATTTCTATTGTTTATTTTTAATTTAAAAAACCATGAAAAATAAAATATTTCGGGTGTTTATTTTGAAATTAATTCAAAAATTAGAAAAAAATCGATTAATAAAAAAAATTGATTATTTTTTTAAGAAAAATCGATTATTTATTAATCGATTATTCATGCTAAAAAAATAATCGATTAATAAAAAATCGATTTTTTATGAAGAATGTCACATCCCTAGTTTACAGACTACAGCTTGGAATTTAGTAGGTAATAGGTATCCTAATATATTATAATTTGTCTGTGGTAGTGCTTGAATTTGTTATATGCATAGACTATAGAGTACATTATATATAGATTATTTGTTACGGCGGCACTGAGCACTCACTTATAGGCGGTATGGTCGTAAGACTTTACCTGCCCTTTGAGTGAATAACAAAAAACTACTACTACTACAACTATTTCAGATATTCAGATGGCGAAGTGTACTAGACTATAAAGCTATTTATAAATCTAAATAGAAAAGTATTCTTGATATAAATGTGAACGGCATTTAAATAAATCAAGTACCTACATGTTCTGAGAACTTTTTAACATCTGTCGGTCACAGACTCAAACGCATTTGTCACCGTAAAATTGTAAACACCGTTAGATTGTAATCTATCGATGCCAATGGACTTTGTATCCGGCTAATAAATAAATTAAAAAAAAAAAAAAGTAATCTATCGAAGTGAAACCGTCAAATTGTGAAATGGATCGCACCTCTCGCGCTGATTGGTTGAACGGAATATGCCACGCGCCACCATATTTGTTTGTTAATTCGTTTGTTGTCGAATGTAAATTAATTGTTTTGGTGAATGTAAATTGATGTCGACGACAAACGAATTAACAAACAAATGTGGTGGCGCGGGGTACATTCCGTTCAACCAATCAGCGCGCGAGGTGCGATCCGTTTCACAATTTGACGGTTTCGCTTCGATAGATTACAATCTACCGAATAATAATACGTTAAATTGTAAGCAGTGCGTTGCGGTTCAAAACCTTCGACAGTTCATAATCTCGCGAGATAGATTACAATCTAACGGTGTTTACAATTTTACGGTGACACATTCACAAACCCCTACGCAAACTGATACGTCTTATGGTCTTATTCGATTTCTTATTTAATTAGATTTGAATGTTGATTTATTAATATTGTTGAAGGTTTTTAGGTGATAATTGATAAACATTCTTACCACCTACATGTACTTCTGAAGAACTATAGTCTAGTCATCCACTACACAAGAGTGTGGGGATATTATTTTAAGTAAAGATTAGTAATAAAAGAAAATATGAAGACCGAAATGTCGTCGGTGGCCAAGGACCTTGAAATCTTAGGTGATCGAAATTGGACACTAGAAACCCGATATAGAGAGTAATGGCCCAAAATACATCAATTAATGATGATGAATACATATATCTACATGAATACAATTAGACGCCTAATAAATTAACGCCTTCTTAATATATACAACTATTCCAAACAACATTTGAAAACAGTCGCCAGTTTTAATACTCCGCAGACAGAATAACCTAAAACAAGAAATAATACAACTGAATAATTCCGGCTATAAAAATATCTAACAACCTTTAGCAAAATATTTTCTAATATTAAGCTAATATTACAATATACATATTGTACTTTTACCTATGTTAAAACTCTCCCAACCAGTAATGTAGGGTAACGTTTTCTTAAATAACAGAACTATAGATTTGATAAATATTTTATATTAGCACACTGATAAATCATTAACAACTAACAAGTTTCGTGACAATTTCTAATAGCTCCCAAACAAAGAATGCCCACCCGAACTCTTTTTACTTCCGACGGACCCTAACCCCGCTTGGTTGTTTTTTCTCTTAACCAATCAACGCCCGAGATCACGCCGACATTTTCCCGCGTCACTACTTGAGAAAAAACCACCAATCGTGGGTCTTGTCAATAGAACTATTATTTACAAAACCACATTAAATATACATCATTTTATCTATTTTAAGTACTTATAATTTAAGATATTAAGAATATAAATCATCTATTTATTAAATTACCTCAATTATAACAAACTTGTATTTATTGTGAAAACCACCGGATATTGTTGAATAAAGTATCACAGAGCAAGCCGTTTCTATGATTGGCTAGTGTCTCCGCAGGAAATATTGAGGACAATTGTAAGACATACAATAGAAGTGTTATTTATATTCTAATTATTAAATACAATAAGTACATAATATGAACTCTTTCGATATAAACTAACCATAAATATAAATATTAATTATGGTAAATATAGCAACGTATTCATTATACAATTGAGAAACCCTAACACCTATAATTATATTTATGAATTTATGATATAAACAGCCAGCTAAATGGTTTCCATAAAAATTGCTTTTAACTTTACGGGCAGGCCTCTGTGTCACTCACCTTTATCACACTACTTAAATATAAAATTGTTATAGCTTATAACCACAGCTATAATTCTAAAATATTATTAGACGGGAAATGCTATCAAATGTACAAGTAAAATACTATCTTAATTATGGTATGGTTTTCAAAAACATTATTAATGGTAGGTTATTTGACAGTATAAATAAAATGTTATACTGCATTTTTTTCTACAATTTAGTTTTAGTATATCATTTGAGCGGTTAGGAAACAAAAATTTAATGGTTCACGAGTTGAACAATTTATTTGTTTATAAAACTGTGGTACTTGGACACTTACTCTGCGAGAAGGCTGGCGATTGGATTGCCGGCCTTATACATTCCAATAATCTGCTTCAAGCTTTATTCTATTTTTGAACAATGTTTACTAAGTTATACTAAAAGCCATATTAAAAAAAAGGGTGCGTGTATTTATGTACGCGCGTAAGAAGTTCTACTTCTTTGGCATTATTAATATAACATATGGATAGTTAACCTCAATTGTATTGAAGCACTTAGGAAGGTTGATGAGCACAGTTTTTCACAAATATTTTCTAATATTAATTAGTATTGATTTAAATATTCAATTTAAATCACTTCTTATTATAATTCAGACGCACATATAAAATTCGCACATATAAAATTCGCACATGTATAATAAAAACCAAATGAAAACACGTGTTTTAAATGTAGAAACTCAAAGCATGTGGATAAATATTATAAATATAAATACACAGTGAACAGAGGCGGCGTGCGTGCCAACATGCGCCACTAACTTCATTCTGTTAATTTTGTGTCACGGTGCGCGCGCATCGTAAAATTTCACTCTCATCAATTTTTCATAACGCGCCTAAAGAAGTATAACTTCAAAAATATATATTACAATTTAGGGAGAGTTTCTTCCAGTAGTTTTTTAATATAAGTACATATTTCTGGAGGGGATTTCATATGTCTAGTATGAAGTCGTTATGATTTAATTTGTTGACTGATTCGATTTCGTTGCTTCACTCCCGCCTTCTAACCTGTCACAAACTTGCCTATACCTAATCTGTGCCGCTATGGTGAATAATAATTGATCAATTATAATTGGTATTTCATGAAGTAGTTATAAACCCAACGTTGCTGAAAATATCAATAAACATTGGAAATTTGGAAATAAAATTATCATGAAATAAGCCATTCTTCTATATGGCTACGACCCACGATGTATGCACATTTTACAGTAGGTATAGGTAGGGATTGTAAAACTAATGTGATCTATATATCGTGAAAATACTTAACAACGCAAACATTATTTTATTTTAATTGATACAAGGACAAATAATTACAGTATGATGATATTTTAGCAAATATATTTATTTCTTTTAAAAGTGAAGAATCATAAAAAATAATCAGAAAAAATTAATTACCTAAGATTTTTTCCGTTTAAAATATTTAAAATCATAAAGATTTTCTTTGCAGTAACTATTGTTCAGTTAAAAATTCTATTAATGCACCGACAATTAATAATAATAATAATAAAGCCTTTTTTATTTCCATATCCTTAAGTTTATTTTCAAATGTTGTTAGTATTTTTTTTAAAGCTAACTGTTAATCGCCTGATATGAACGGTGAACCCATTTGCTTTCTTTATTTGGGGTTCTCTGCTTCAAAGGCCTACTTAACCATCATACAAGTTTTATTAAAATGTTTACTACACGCGATACTCAAATAAAATATTAAGTTGGTACAAACTTAAATAGATCGGCCCACAGAGTAGGTACGTGTCACTCAAATGACTCCAGGTAAACCATTTGCTGTTCAGACATGAACGTCTGACGTGTCCAGGTGAGCAACACTAAAGCCGAACGTCCACCGCCGGCTAAACTTAATGAAAACTAAGCTAAGCTAAACTAGAACTACGTTGTCCGTCCACCAATAAATAAGCTAAAACTACGTTAGTGATGGCCAGTTTGTGCTAGAACGTCGAGTTAGAAGACGACACGAGCAATGACGAGACTTTAGAGGTAAGAGAGGAGGAGGAGGTCTATAGGAGGTCTATCGTCATAGGAGAAGAACATTGATTATTGCTTATTTTATGAAGAAAAAATGGAAACAGTGATACTGGATATGTCAACACATTCAGTCCTGGAAAACAAGTAGCGAATTTAACACTTTGTTTAATGAACTAGACTACAAAATTTTTAAGATGTACTACAATGGTTTGATGAGTTACTGACTACTGTCACAACACTGTCGACAGGCGTCAGAGGGGTTAGTTAGTTACGGATCGGGCGCACAACTAAGTTAGTTCCACTTAGCTGGGGAATTTCACGTAGCTTAGCTGGCATAGTTTGCGGTGGACGCACATGTATGAAAAACTGGCTCAACTATGCGAGCTAAGCAAAACTAACTTAGTTTAGCCGGCGGTGGACGTTCGGCTTAAAGCTACCTCAAGTGCCTACCGTACTGCCGCACTTCACACTCTACCGAAGCATAAGCTGTGTTTGATTATATAGTCCATGTACAGTTAAAACTTAGACCCAAAAAATTCCGGGCGTAGGACCTTCTTAACTAAAGAAAGATTAATGTCTTCCGTACCTACAGTTTGCTCTATATCCTTAAAATATTACGTTAGTCAAATGATATTTTTGAAAAGCAGCCAAATGGCTTAATGTTCTTGTTTTTTATTGTGTTAATTAACATATTTAAATCATGTTTTTATTTCATTTAATCACACTTACAGACGTCATCATAGAATATTACATTTTAATTAATATCGCTTTACAATTGACGTTGATAAGACATTCAATTTATTAAGTGTGGTTAGTTACAAGGTTAGATAGATATTTATTATTTATGTATTTATTGAGTGGAATATTTTATTACGTCAAAGAACGTCAAGTTGGTTTTTACTAATTTTATATTGAACTACCTACAACTTTCCACAAGAGTTAGGCTCATAGCACATGAGTTATGACCATATAAAATAAAAAACAAATTCCGGTATTTTTGAAGTTATACTTCTTTAGGCGCGTTATGAAAAATTTATGAGAGTGAAATTTTACGATGCGCGCGCACCTGAGACACGAAGTTGTCGTGATTATAGCGTGCGCGAGCGAGATAGGAATAAGACAATCTACAAGTAAAAAGAAATAGAATATGCGTGAAGTTAGCAGCTATGCCAAGAATTTTGAATGACCATAATGACATTTACCTTTTAAACAAATAAAGGAGTTTTAATTATTTTTTCATAGAAATTTAGCAATGCTTTTTCACAAAGACCTATTGTTACTTAGTTAAAAGGTTATGAATTATTTATTTATTTATTTTTTCAAATGTAAACTGAACTTTATTGACTATAATGACTCCTTTTCCAGTCTTTGATTATTTAATTGTAATTAATTATTTGCATGCAATCAAAAACTTTTTTTTATAATGCAAAAGAAGTATAACTTCTTACGCGCGTACATAAGTACACACCCTTTTTTTTAAATTTGTATGCGTGTTTGCGTATAGCATTTATAAATATATGGCTTATACTAAAATATATATACTTAAAAATATTCTTTTACATTTATTTATTTTATAGAATAATACAAAATCATAAAATATTATTTATTTCCAGATAATTTTATTCTATCTAACTGTTTATACTAATACGATAGAACTAAACAATAATACCTACACCGATAATTCTACAATTTTAATTGTTTTTAAACACATTAAAAATATTGTATAAAATACATTAATGTATATATATAATATAACTAGAACTTAAACATAACAAGCAGCTGTTGTGAACCTTACCTGTAAAATAATTGACTGAGCAGTTTTCTTGCGAAGTACAGCCTTGCGATTCTGTAACTCACTTTTCGAACTCTCACAGCGGTTTTCGCAGCGGCGGTCGCGCTCAACTCAGTCGTGAAGCAGTCTTTTACCATTTGGCATTCTGATAAGGAGACATCATCCAGACATCTAAGCCGATCCCCTACTCGTAAGACAGAGTTTTAATGATTAGTGGAGGGAATTGTTTGAAGAACCTTTAGAAATGAAGTGCGCGAAGGAGAAGTCAGGATAAAAATATTGTACTTAACATTTTTAAATTTAATTCAGAACAGTAACACTTATATGTTAATCATTGTAATTTTGTAATTAGTTTGCTTATAGGATAATTAAAACATTGTGGCGCACATATTGTCTTACTCGGTGTAAAGTAACATCTTTATTTTGAATAAATACGAAATTAAAAATGTATCTTTATCTTTTCCTACTGACAACGTCTATAACGCTCGGTAAGTTCAACTTAGGATAAAAAACCTATTGTTTTACAACCAATTCGTTATGGTTTTCGTGGAATTAGGACCAGAAATTGAATAAGACACGCGCAACAGTCTGTTGTCAACGAGTTGAGACAAATATTGGAAGTTTTGAATCAAAATTCAACAATAAGGGCTTGATCCCTTGGCATTGCGTAGAGATGTGGGGTCTCTCTGCATCTTCTACCGCAGTTACCATGGAGAGTGTTCAGAGGAGTTGTTCGGATTAATACCTGCAGCTGAGGTTCATCATCGGACGTCAAGGCAGAATACGATATTCCACCCTTATCACTTTCACGTCCGTCATTCCACAACTAAGCGTTTTTAAAGTAGATTCTGCTGCGCACCACCACTATCTGGAACCAGCCCACTGAAGTACCAATACCCGTACCAATTCTTAAAAGGCCGGCAACGCACTCGCGGGCTGCCATTGAGAGTCCATGGGCGGCGGAATCACTGAACATCGGGTGAGCCTCCGTAACCTGTTCTATAAAAAAAAATATCTCTGGTATCAGATATTTCGTTGTTATTCCATTTATTAGCAAAACAAACACACTTTAAAAAAAAATTGTCTGGATCTCCAGATCGAGTTGAAAAGCCAATCATCAAAAATGAATATACTATTTTGGTAATTATTTCATGAATCGTTAAAACAAACATTTAATAGTTATTTTACGCTACTTAATTGTAATGTTGTCCTAGGTCACGCTGAAGATAAATTCACGAATAATGGTATTAGCCCACATATAGTGGGAGGCAGTGATGCGGAAGCAGGCGAGTTTCCATATTTAGTATCACTCAGAATCAGACAAAAAGGGGAAATACTGGACGGTCATGTGTGTGGTGGAAGCATTCTCACCTACAGATGGGTAGTCAGCGCTGCACACTGCACAATCAAGTAACCGTAACAAAACATTTATTAAAGTATTATTTGTAAGCCACATTATGTTTAACACAATGTTTTAATAAACTTATAGGAACTATATTAGGTACTGCCAGTTCTCTCAAGGTCGTTTAACGCCCGAACCCAATGACCTATCTCAATCCATAATCCACCATGAGATAGTAATCTTAATCCAAATATTGTAACAAGTGTGCCAATAACCAATCGACGGATTGTAATAGCCATCTGTCGGTACAAGCTCTCCATGGGAGTTCGTATCGGTGTCTGTGGATAGACCTTTGTATGAAAATGACAGTTGAGTGTTGACGAAAGCTCGATTTCAACAGTTAATTATTTTAACATATTTAATGTTTTAAACATACACATATTGTTTATATTATTATTATTTGTACGGTTTTATTTACTTTATTTGGTTTACATTGATCATCAAATATCAGTGAAAACTCGGTAAAATGGAACGACAAAGAACATTTTATCCGTCGCCAAAAAATGATTGTCTTCGTAGGGATTGGTTTTTGGGATGCAGATAGGAGATCGATCGACTGTCACGGTCTGATCTCAGATTGTTTTCAACTGACTGAGATTGTGGATCGATTATTGGGTTCGGGCGTAAGTCGAGTGGAACTGGGAAATCCTCCGCCGCTCCGTTTTAATTCCAAATATTTTCATTTACTTACTTGAAAGCTGCAATTACGCCTAGAGTATTTTGCATTCGTAATTTGGAAAAGAATTTGCGACAAAAATAATATTTTTAATTGTGTGCGACTGCGTTAATATAACTACGATATAGATTAGTCAATTCTAATTATTTTAAATTTGATATCAAGGTGTGAAGATTGGACCTATATATGCCGCAGCCAACTAGCATAATGAGCCGTTCAATTAACAGACTAGCATTTTAAATAAACAGCGCCGTTTAACTAGCGGCCTGAAGTATATTCAGGCAGTTGATCAAACAGCTAGGCAAATGACTTGGATCGATGACGTTTCATTACTTGCCTAGCCTGTTGAGCCTCTTAAGGCTAGGCTGTTGATTGAACGGATAATTAAGCTAGTTGGCTGCGACATATACATAGCGGAGGTTACACGCGGCGTCTGACTTAGGCGAGTTATTAGGTCCTGCAGTCATTGGACACCAACTGCTATACTCTCGTTTTCTTCTGAATCATTGGAACACCTTAGCTTTATTTAGAGAATTTCTATAATAAATATAATTTGTTTTTTAGTGTCAAACCCGTGGATATTAGAATAGTGGCTGGATCAATCAAACTATCGGAGGGCGGATCAATCTATTATGTAGACAGAATTGTGAATGGAAACTTTGAAAATATAACTAAATCTGATGACATTTCTCTTATCAAAACAAAAACAGATATTGTGTTTAATAAATATGTGAGAAGTATCCTATTGTCTTTGGGACCTGTACCCGTCGGAGAAGACGCAATGATAGCGGGCTGGGGATTTACTGATGTAAGCAAATTAATAATAATGTAGTATAATTAGCAAATACTGTATGGAGAATCGAATAATAAAAGTAACAGAAAGTAATATTAAACAATAGGCTATTTGATCTTCAAAAATATTTCATATTAGTGACTAAAGAACCTAATCGCTCGCTACAGTGAGCTTCCGTCCTGCCCTTCAGGCGATTGACCACCCCCGACGGCCCAAGACGAGGTTCGAGTCTCACAGGAGACGCCCTTGCGCTAGTCGCGGGAAAAACGCACTTTCAGGCCGAGCTGAGCTCAGCTGAGTTGCAGGTTACAGCTGTAAAGGCCCTAAGGGCCATCAGCGAGATTTCATTAAAAAAAAAAAAATAACATGTTAATTAACAATCTGCGACTAGTCCTAATTCATAGTGTCACCACGTCACTGCCGTATCAATATTATGGATTTTTTGATTCATTAATGATTATTTACAAGTTATTTAACTCCATAGCGCCTTTTAAAGTCACGTTACTGAAAGACATTATTTATCATACTGTCAAATAGTAATTTTTTTTTTATAAATCTACAACAGTAAAATTGTTAACTGTCAACTTTGACCACGATTGTAGTAAATTACTCAAATTGTCGAGTTGTGTAAATAATGCAATTATTTCGATACTGTCTGACTGATGAGGGTGTCTTCGAAGTAAGGAGTAGTGACAAAGGCTGTTATTGTTATGAAGTCTGTTGCTATGATGGCTACGTCACATCTCATCTTTTCATTGATTTCCTGACTTGCCTCTTGCCACAGATTAATCCATCTTTTGTCCTTTGCGCATATTTTTCAAAATCTATTAGTTATGGTTGTTAGTAATGGACTAGGCATTAAAACTTCAATGTTTTTGTACGTATAAACTGACTCTTAGACTTCTTTAATATTGTCTATTTTTGGTTTCAGAAATATCGGACACGGAGAACCGATGTTTTGCAAAAACTTATGGTTCATATTCGTCCATACGATGTGTGTTTAAAGTATTTACCTAATTACTTTAAGGATACACATACAAAGATATGCATTCAAAGAGAATACGGGAAGGGAGTTTGTCACGTGAGTTATTTGTTATTTAAAGAAAAACGCTTTTTACCGGATTAAAGTTATGTTTATTATTATAAATTTACAACTATTTGACATAATTTATATATTATCATAAATTATATTTCAATAGAGAAGACGGCCTAAAATTGTCAAACACCTGGGATCCAATAATATCCAAATTAAAATCTCAAAAAGAAAAACAATCCGCGAAAATAGAGGACACCGTGAGCCATTTTTGCCAAAACCCTCCATCTTTTAGTCGATACCAACTCCGGGGAAATAAATACAGATAATGCAACTTTCTCTGCAGCTGTGATACTTTTTGACATTCAACATCTTTTGTCTTCAGTCACCGTGACCACGCACGCTGTAAAGCACGCGAAACGTCGGATAAATTTAAAATTATGTCAAATAGTTGTAAATTTATAATAATAAACATAACTTTAATCCGGTAAAAAGCGTTTTTCTTTAAATGTGTAAAGGTTATGTTAATCAAAGACAATATTATTTGTTATTTACGAGGGTGTCCAATAAATAGTTAAAATTTGATACATTCTCTTTGGAAAGAAATAAAAAATACTTCAGGCACAGACATGATCTATAACAGTAATTAAAAACGGGATAAATTCTCTTTTATTTTTTTTAATTTAAGGTCATTTGTTTGCGTTATCTCGAAACAACGAATGCATATTTTTTTATGGAACTAGGGGAGGCTCATCTGATGTGAGGTGATAATGCCCATGGTCATTCACACTGCCAGAAGGCTGGCAAGTGCGTTGCCGGCGTTCTTATCTTGAATCTAAGATAATCAAAGTCGAGTTGGTTCGGAAGTACTTCAGTGTGCAGCTGATTCCACAATAGTAGACGTATTCGAATCATGATGATGACGATGAAGATGACGCCGCTTCTGCCCTGACTTAAAGGCATTCTCGCTCTGAACGGGGGGCCACAAGGGCGTTTAAACTAGGGCTGGGACTTGCCACCATTAGCACCTTAGAGAATGGAATAAACAGTTTCATACAGCAACGGCATCCGTAGCACCCGGCTGAAGCAAAAAGGCGCCCAAGGGTAGAACGCAATACTCCATAATACATAACGTGTCAGCGTGCTGGGTGCTCAGAATGCATTCTGAAACAAAGGATACTGGCACAAAGTTTGTGTTTGGTACAACAAGATCTTAGTTCAGTTAGAAAGTTAGATAAAAAGGTGACGTCTTCTATGCCCAATGCACATTATAGATTTTAAATTTTAAAACATTCCGGTGCATGGCCAGCGTACGAATTTAATTCTCGAGAGCTTTTGATTTTGTTACTGTAATGTGCATTTTATCTTTTTTTGCAGGGCGAGTCCGGTAGTCCTTTAATATATCAGGGACTGCTGTATGGTATTGCCTCATTTAATATAGACATTCATTGCGGTGTTGGTGTGCCGACTGTCTACACAGAAGTACGTCCATACATGCCATGGATATTTAATATTATTTACACATAAATTTGGTCTTAGCTTTACCTACCTAGGAATATTAAAGTTTTGATACGAACAGAATATTGTTTCATTTGTATTGCAATTGTCTCTGATTAATAAGGAGTCTCACAACCAAGTCACGTGACTATGTTAAAGGATAGCGACGCGTACTCTTGTGTAATATTAATACAATTCCAGAAACGAAATGATAGTGAGTCAAAAAATTATCGCTTAAATTTCTTAATTTTTTCTTCTAAAAGTAGAAACGGGGTAAAAATGTTATTTTATATGCTAGAAAACCGGACATATTATGTCGAAGACTTAATAAGTGCCCATTGCGTAATCTACGCACCCTGAGGGAATTTTAAAAAGAAAATATTTTACGTCAATTCCGCTACCAATTAAGCGTACTATTTGTAATATTAATTTTTGTTTCTCTTTTCACATTAACAACAGACTTTATAAATAAATATATACATAATACGTAAATAAATAAATAAAATAAAAACTTTATTCATGACAGAAATATGGTTGTGACAAAAGTCATCTATCGCTAGAACGCTACACTAGTGGTGCGTTCCACTAAGCGCTCACGACGATCACGCTCACGACCGCTGATTTCCCCATTCCACTTGATTGTGAATGTTACTGTCGTTAACTCAAGTGGAATGGATTATGGAGCGTTTCGGGCGTTCATGTAAATATTACAAATGTCAAGTTTGAAAATAGTAGAATTTTAAGGAGGTTAGGTAATCATAAACAATAAGTTTTGATATTTGTGACTTAAATTTATTATTATTATGTTAAAAGTGAAGAATAATTGAATATTTTATAAATAATTTTGGTGAAGTTATCAAACAACTTAAGTTTAAATATAATCGAAATGGCTTTACAATTTCTCTTTCTGAATCAAATAATGTGATTTTTCTTGTCGCCATCTTTAAGCTTTGAATATAATAATATTATTATTTGTCATATTTCAAAAAAAAAATCAAAAATTGCGCCAAATTATTCTCAACGTTCACAACGACCCACCTCTTTAGATGGGTCGTTGTGAGCGTTGCGTGAGCATTAGTCATGACGTCATGAGTGACGTTTTCGCCGTGACCACAACGACCGCGGTCGGTATGTGGAATGGCTAAAAGAGCATTTTGATCGTCGTGAGCGCTTAGTGGAACGCACCATCTGTAGCCTACGTCAAAAAATGACCTTGTCATGTCCGTTATTTAAAGCAATATAGTTCAATAAAATGTGATATATTGGTATAAAATTATTTGTGTAGTACATAATATATACATCTTTAAATATGCCTAAGAAAGGTAAGGGGAAGGAGCCCGCCCCTGCTAAAGCCGCTGCTCCCGGCCCTCCACCCAAGCCTAAAAAGATTCCTCCACCACCAGCATGTTTCGGTCCTGAAGACTTAGCGAAATTCAAAGAATTATTTAAAGCATGCGACGAAGAAAATATAGATAAGGTAATAAACTTTAATTATCTGAATTTTCATAATTAAAAAGATACATTGTTTTATGCTTGTACATTGCAATATTACATTGATTAAAGTTATAATATTTATTTATTTACACTTCGATACATTTATAGACAAACAAATAACATAATACATAAAAATTATAAGATATGCTACGTGTGATCTTATCGCTAATAAGCGATCTCTTCTAGGCAACTTTAGTAAGGAAAAAAACTAAAAAAAGAAATATTATGGGTAAAGTGCAATAAGTGCATAACCAAATCTTATAAAAAAAATTAAATTTCTTAACCATAAATAATAATATTTACAAGTAGAATATTTTTTGTGTTCAGAAAAATTCAATTTTGATTTTTGCACTAAGTTATTAACTTACTATAAATTAATATTATTTAAAAGTTATCATTTTAATACAATTTGCTCATGTTTGTATTACAAAATTAATTTGTAATATAAACAAACTTGTTGAAATAAATTTAACTTGTTTTAAGGTAAAAATAGAACAAATACCATTCATGTTACGAAAGCTAGGATTCAATCCAAAAACCCATGAAATAAAAGAACTCTTCAGATTATTTTTGGAAGATGATTTAGTGGATACGGTGGAATATCATGAATTCTTATTTATGATTGAGGCTAAAATGAACTGGGGCGATGATTTCGAGTTGGCGGTGACGAAAGCAATGGCTGCGCTTGCACATGATGATGAGCACGAGATAGGTAATAAAGACTAACGAAGTTTAGTTTTATAAAACTACATAAAAATAAGAATTGAAGTTAAGTTGAAGATTTGCATTGCAGTAGATATATTAATAAAAATCGCTGGGATACGTGACTTTTCGATACTGAGATAAATTTTACCAGCAATATCATGCGCGGTACGGAAATTTGCAAATCCTACGCTCGACAAATTCAGATTTATTAATATTGTTATTTTAATTTATACAGGTATTGTTGATTTTGAAATATTAAGAGAAGAACTAACAGTCTGGGGTGAGCCTATAACAGAAATTGAATTTGTTGACTGGATAAAACTATCAATGAAAGACAAAACTTACAACATAGAAGATGGGACATTTAATTACGTTAAGTTTATTGAGAATATGAACGCCAAGGATGTTAAGTATATTAAGGAGCCGATTAACTTCTACAAGCTTGATCAGAAGACTTTAGCCGCGATGGCGATAAAGAAAGCCCAAGAAGAGAAAGAAGAACAGGAAAAGAAAGATGCTCTCAACAAGGCCAGAGAAGAGGCGAAGAGACAGAAGATGATTGCTGATGGCTTAATTCCTCCGGATTAGATACATAAATCGTCTGGCCACATTGGTGATCAAAGTAGACATTGAACGAATGTAATTAACGCAAAAATTTATTGTTTATTTAAAAAAAATATATCAAAATTACACGAGAGGGCAAATATGCCTCATAATTCTAAAAAGAGTGGTTGGTTTTTCTTGTTTACTGCTGGTTTTTCAGTATTGTCTAATAGGTTGTCTTGTTTTGGAAGCGCACTCTAGTTTTTGTTGTAAATGGGCTGTCAAGTAGGTTCTTGAGCCGTGACAAATAAAATTAAGTATTAAAATTTCGAAAAATAAATCTAATATGACGAATTAATTGTGTTGATGAAGTGCTTGTTAATGTATACATTCAAAAGATTGTCTCCCATTTCAGTACTAGAAAACAACGATTAACTCATGGTAATGACGTACATACATACATATTCAACAATCCTGCATAATTTTTATAGATGCGAAATGGGACGAGAATAAGAGATGTTACTTGCATACATTAACGGAAGAAGAAAAATAAGTTTTCTTTTATATCATGTATTTATTTATTTATTAACCCTACAGCTTACATAAATTATATATAATACTAGCAGCCCCCGCGAACTTCGTTTCTCCTTAATGTGATTTTACTTAGCCTACTGTTAGTACCTACCAATATGGAACATTTTGCTATGCTACCCCGGAGACTGTTCGATTTTCCGGAATGAAAACTTTAGGTTTTTCTGTGAATTTTTCTCTGTATAAACCCCTAAGTTCAAGTCATAAGTTTTATTTATAATTTTTCGTCATCGTTTCTTGAAATAGGGCGTATGGAACAAATATATAGTGGAGTTGAGTAGTTTATGTATCCATTTTGAAAGATCGATACACGATTTAAATAACTTCGCTGGTAATTTTCTATCCAAACATAGCCAATCTTTGACACTTTGAATTCATTTTATGACGAAAATGTATATAGAACATGATTTTGAAATTTATACGATATATTTTATCGCAAGCCAAGTAATCCATTTCAGAAAAAAAATTGATAAAAATACTTTAATTTAATGTTTTACATAACTCATTGTTATTACGGGCGCGCCTCAGTGCTCCAGCTCTCCACTGCGCCCCGCAGTCCACCCCTAGACACTGACACAGCAATTCGTGTTGGGGTAGGGCTTTAAGACTGAAGTGCACTAACACTATTTAATTAGTTCAAATTGTTTGGTCCTTTTCAGTCTTCTCACTAGGCCCGCGGTGTCAAGGAGTTGAATAGCCTCGACATTCACGTGTTGGTGGAGCCTATGTTCGTGGTCACGGAAGGATAATAATGATTTAATAGGTTACGGTACTAGTTCTTGAAATTGTGTTTGCTTAGGCCTCCAGAAACTATGTTGTAACTTACCGGGCCTAAATATTTTATATACATTATGGATCACGTCATCTCCTTTGAGATGTTGGTAATTGAAAATGTTTGAGTAGGATTTATGAATAACTCTATTGTATTCCAACGTATTAATCTCAAGTCAAAAAGATATGATGAAAAATACGAGAGTTTTGCGTGGCTGATTTTATTATTAAGGCAAAAAAACTAAGGAGGTCATCAATTCGAGTTTTTTTTATTCTGTGCAATGATAACACCATATATATTAGGGTTTGTCTAAGTAGAAAAGTAAAGCTTAAAAGGTTCTATTCTAATTAAGGATTTCATTTAATCGCCGCTACAAATTGTGTCCTTTAAGGACTGCGAGATTCAATTATAAAAATCTTTAAAAATAATTGGAGATCTAAGGATAATCTTAATGAAAATAGATACGCTGGATTTTACTTGAAAAACAAATTTTATTGAATACTTTATAAGCTTTAAAAGTGCTTTTATTTTTATTTTCAAGATGTCGTAAATACACTTGTTCACTGTTTTTATATATATATATCAATTTATCATTATCTCATTATCATCATTATCAATTTATCATATTATTTAAGAAAGGCAACATATATACACATTTTACACTTGCCTATTAGATTTAAAAAATGATCATGAAACAGATTCAGAAATCTGAGGCCAAGACCTAAAGAGGTTGTAGCGCCACTGATTTATTTTTTATTTTATTTTAGATTAAACAAGTTATGGTATAATATTACCACACATACTCAAATCCGCGAATTTTGTATCACCAAGGGTCATCACTATAGTCCCACATTCTATGCTCGAAATTTTTACACTGTGACATATTTTAATTTTGGCGCCATTCAACATTGGTTTATTAGATTTAATTCCTGTCAATTTATGAAATTAGATGAACTGTTGCGGCGAAGTTAATCTTCCGCTCTTATAAAATCTGTGTACCTTTGATTTTGAGTATGTTTATATATGTATAAGTCTTATTTAAATTTAATTTTCTAAATAAGTATTATTGTTTTTTAAGTATTTTGTTTACATTAATATTTTCTTATAAATACAAAGGGTAAACCCTACAAATTCTAATTTAATTCCAGATAACCCAAAATTTGCATAAGAATACACATATTTTACGCGTGACAGCCAACTCGTTAAATTGGCCTCAGTGTTGCCAACATGGGGTTTTCCCTCCAAATTTAGGGAGCATCACGAAGTTCAGGGGTATTTTTAAGGGGTACTTTATTAATAATAATTAATACTCTAAGTTTAGAAAACCGCTATTTTATACTACCTGAATTTATTTTTAATTCATATGTGAAATTTCCTGTGAAACTAAATTTAGAACAAAGCCTTTAGGGGTATTAAAACGATATTTAGGGTTATTGTTCCTAGGGAACGTTCTGTAGTAGTTGGCATCACTGAATTTCACCTGTGGTATCTACCACAACAAACAATTTTCGAGAAGTTGTTACGCTCGTAATATATTGAAAATGCCTAAAGTCATTATCAAGATCGTAGGCTACAAATACAAAACTTAGTTTAAGCTACCACTATCTTACTTAAAATTTGTTTTTCAGTTGGTTTTATAACATAAAACCTTACGAATATACATAATATCAGATACCGTGTTTCATCCTCAATTATGTAGTAAGTCTTAGTATGACTGATTCTTTAACGTTTTAAAGTATATTATTAAATAATAAGTAATATTATTAATTTCTTAAGCAAATTGCGCCATCTATGCTTAGAATTAGCTTTAGCGGTATCGTCTGTTTATAATTATTTTAAAAACCAATACAAGGTTGGCGATATTTAATTCTGCCGATTACAAATTATTGGTTTCATTATAGAGAGATACAGAATTTGAGCAATATTTATATATACGTTTAGGCATGTTATCCTGATTTTTTTGTTATTCGGTTGTTTTTAATATAAAGTGTAAAAATACGCATTTGTTCTGTTATATAAAAGTTTACGCAGAAATTGTGATTGGTATTTTGGTTTTAATCCGTTATAGGACAATAAAATATAAATAACAATCCTAGTACTGTATCTAACGGGGTGAATATCTTAATCTAATATATAAAATTCTCGTGTCGCGGTGTTTGTGGTTAAACTCCTCCGAAACGGCTCGACCGATTCTCATGAAATTTTGTGTGCATATTGGGTATGTCTAAGAATCGGACAACATCTATTTTTCATCCCCCTAAATGTTAAGGGTAGTCCACCCCTAATTTTTTTTTTTAATTTTAGATAAATTTTTTATTCTTTATTTTTTTATGATACAGCATTAAAAAATACATACAACCCCTAATTTTCACCCCTTTACGATCAATACCTATTTTTTATTATAAATGATATAGGTACATGGCAAAACGACGTTTGCCGGATCAGCTAGTATATTATAAATTACGCGTCACGTTGTTTGTCCGCCATGGACTCCTAATCTACTTAACCGATTTCAATCGAATTTGCATACCGTGTGCAGTTTGAACTAATTTAAAAGATAGGATAGCTTACATCTTCATTTATACCCGTAATATTATTTTATTGCAAATTATTTGTTTATTATTTGATAGTCACAATTCTAACAGATGGTGCTGTGTTGAATGTACCAACGTTTCACATAAGCTACAATTTAATGACATAACCACCAAAAAAGCATGAAGGTGAGGTTCTCCTACCGTTTCCCTTGTATAGTTTACTACTATGTAATATAACAAAAAGCGGGAGTACTCGCGTGACGGTTGCTCGCGGCGCAACTACCTACATAGGCTCCGTGCTGTCTTTCTTTTAAAAAAATACTACTTGTGATCAATGCGACTTTAATAAGTGTTAAAACGTCTAATAATACTACAAAGTAATAGATAAATGTATAGTCAGTGCTCAAGAGAACGAAACACATCAGGATTTTAAAGTGTTTTAACGAGGCTTCAACTGACGTGCCACGCTTTCAACAATCAAACGGATTCATGACACTGTTGCATTATTGTGAGGTTGTGACGTCTAGTGCTAAAAGTGACTAAAGTGTCTTCTGAAAAATCTTAGTGCAAAACGAAATACAAATATTAAACAGACATTAGTCATCCATATGAACTGGTTACAAAATTATCTACTATACCAAACATTGGTTCAGTTCATCATAATCTCAGATAGCCACTTATATAAGGGTATCGACTAAGTGAAAAGCGGTCCAAGTTCGAATAATCTGACTTACACTATTTATGGATTTTATTTGCTCCTGCAAAACAAATATTGTAAGACAAATACGTCAAAACGCCCCCATCTAGTAAAATTTCTAGAATTAGGAAAATATAAATTAATCAATAATAATTTTAACTTCGTTGAAAAATTCATATTTCTTCGGATAGAGGGCACTGATACACTATGGAAGAAATTCATCAAATGTTACTGAACTTACAGCAAGACATCAAACAACAAAAACAAGATATGTTGGACATGAAAGAGGATTTAAAAATCATAATAATTAACAACATTCACGAGAAATTTTCAAACTTTGAATTGAAAAACGAACAATTAGAAAAAACGATTGAAGAACAAAAAGTCAAATTAAATAACTTAGAAAGGCATTCACGACGAAAGAACCTAGTCATGTTCGGAGTAGAAGAGA